TCCTTCCGCACACTACCTTCCTGTCAGAATGCCCTTCAGAAAATGAAACATTTGCTTCTATGTGGAAACAGAACACAAGAAGGGAACTGGATACATTTGTAGATCACTGGAAATGGTAGGTAAAAAGAGTCCATGGTAACCTTTGTAAACTGAAAAAAATGCCCATCTAATATTTTTTTGAAATGATAATGTTTAATGCTGATAGTATCATAGTGAGAAGGAATCCCCAGTGCTGGTGGGAATGCAGTTTGGTTAGAACCTTTCTAAGAAGCTATTTGGGAGAATATATCAAGACCCTTAAAAGAAACTCCTAGCATTTTACCCAATAACCCAATAATTTTACTTCAGGAATTAATGCCAAGGAAACAATTGAGACATAGGCAATGATCCTTTACAAGGATGTGAGTTGCAGGACTATTTATAATACGTAAAAGGGGATAGTAACCTGAATGTACACAATAAGAGAATGGCTACATAAATCAGGGGGTATCATACATAGGATACCCTGTAGTCATTTTTAAAATATGATATCAAAGGCTATCTAATGACATCAGAAAATGCTTTATTATATTAAGTGAACCAAACAGGCTATTAAATATTCCCCTACAAGTGAGGAGGAATATGCCAAGATTAACATCCATGATTATCAGTGGTATAAATTATAAATGGTTCTATTGCTTTTCTTCTTGCTTTCTGGTATTTTGCCTTTTTTTTTTTTTTTACAAAGGCTGTAATTTTGATTATCAGAATTTAAAAAGATTAGCTTTCTTTGTAATGGCCAGCTGTTTCCTCTAGTAAGAAACCCTCTTATAGCGACTCTACTACCATGGTGTGGAGACCAGAGAGGGTCCGAACATACATGGTCAGGTTGGCATTCTGGCTGGGCAGCCCGGCCATGGTGCAGTAGGCATGCCCTGGCAGGTACACTAGACGTTCCATCATTCAAGTGAGTCACCACAGAAGGGTGTCAAGCTGATGATGTTGCTGCACACTGTACTTGAACTATCAGCCACAAGCAAGCCTGCTGCCAAGCCTTTTAGCCTTATCTTCCTAAACCGTTATTCTTTTACTGTCCAGTGAATGTCAAAGAGACTGACTGAGACTGTCTGACTCCTTCTGAGGACACCGTGGGCCAACAGACTAAAGCAGAAGCAAGCCTTCCAGTTGAATTCCAACCAGACAGCAAATGTTCCCTCCATGCTAAAGTTTAAGCCGTGTTGTTGTGGGAGCTGGGCCTTGATATGAGGACCTTGCAGGACACCAGGAATAGTTTTCAGTGCTGGGACATTCAGCTCAGACCCCAGCTGGACTCTGAGAATTATAGAAAGTTCTTAAGGGTCATCTGCTAAAACTCTAATTATGGAATTATTTTCTCCTATTTTAATCTCAATCATCCTTGGTGTCTTTAGTTGCTACTAGAGATTTCAGAGTCAAGAATGAAATTGACCTTGTTTGTCTGTTTGGGGAGAGTATTTATTTTTAGGGAGAGTAGCAAGACTTTTTTGTCCTCTGTTGTCAGTTTTAAATAATCTACAGCCAGGTACTTCTGTAGTGAAAGGAGAATTTAAGAATATACAGTGTCTTGGGCCATTACCGTCATCATCCCTGTGCATCTATGTCCCGCATGTATGTTCTCTGAGTAGGTGAACACATACTCATGTAGTTTTACATCGTTACTAAAACATGTATATGTTATTTCTTGGAGGACATTTATGTGTGAATAATCCTTCTGTTGCTATAGGCATCATTCTGGTACATAAAAATGTGCAGTAGTATTGTTGATAGTGAGGTTTTATTGACATGACTCTAAAGTACAAATAAAAGACATAATTCCTTTAGTAGTTTAAAAAATCACAGAAATACTATGGAGTATTCATTTTATTATTACACTGACTCAAACATAGTGGTAATAAATTTTAAACTGGTCATTTTATAGCAAATACATGTTATTGCCGTGACTAAAACATTAACAAATGCATGAAATTCTGCCATTAAAAATGGCAATTGATACTGGCAATGGACATGAGTATTAAAGAGTAAGTTCTTAATAATACTTAGGAATACCCTGCATTCCAGCCACACTCCCAGATAATTTTAGCCATGTATTACTGGCCAAGAACCACTGAGATATCTAAGCATGTGAAAAATGTTCAGAACCCACAATGTATTCATAGAATCTCATCCCACCTATGCCTTTAGCCAAAGGCATAATTCTTGATACAGATGGAGTAGGAAGCTGGAGGTGTTTTCTACCTAAACAAGTCATTTAAAAAAAGCAGTAGGGACTTTAATTGCCCCCATGGTAACCACTGACCAAAGGAACAGATTAGTCCTGGTTTGGGGGCCTGGGCTGTTCTCTTGAATCCCCAAGTCATCCCTGGTCCTGCTTGAGTTCCTGGACTTGGCCATAGTTCTCAAGTGGTTCCTGGGCCTTGCCTCTAAGTGGTGGGGTTGTGGTGAGAAGACCATGAAAGCCAGGCTTGTCTTGCCAGCACTGTGGAAGAAACTGAGGACTGCAGAATGGAAAGATGACGCTTCTCCCAGAGCTAGAAACCGAGACAGGCTGAAGCAGGTATTAAGCGAGTAATAGGCCCGGTGCCGTGGCCTGGGAGGCTGAGGTAGGGAGGCTGCTTGAGCTCAGGAGTTCAAGACCAGCCCTAGCAAGAGTGAGACCCTGTTTCTACTAAAAAAAAAAATAGAAAAACTAGCCTGTAGTCCTAACTACTTGGGAGACTGAGGCAAGAGGATCTCTTGAGCCCAGGAGTTTAAGGGTACTGTGAGCTATGAGGATGCCACAGCACTCTACCCAGGGTGACAGAGTGAGAGTGTATCTCAAGAAAAACTCTAAGAACAGAATTGCTTATCCGTCAGCTGATGGCTCTTGCTATATTATATTAAAGTTGTTTTTTAGTATGTGCCATCTTGTCACATACATTTGAAGCTCTAGAGTCAGGGATGTTGGCAAATTCCACTTCCTTCCTGTCTTGACCATATACTAGGTGCTCTTTGACTTAATCTCTTTTGGATTAAGAAAGTTTTAAAAAGACATATACTCTTGGAATTTTATTTCTTCTCTTATATGAATCCCATCTGCCGTATGAATCTACTGGACAGAACACTGGAGGCAGGACTGGGGATTTTGTTGGAATTTATAGTCTGTTGAGACCGAGTCTGTCTGCTGCTGTATTCCCATTTTCCCATGCAAATATGGTAGGCATCTAAAGGAAATACATAAATCAGTGGTTAAGAAGATCTGTAATGCTGTAGCAAGAGTCTGTAAAGAAGCTTGGCACAGCCTCGAGGGACAGAGCAGTCCTGCTACCCCTGGGTAGCCCACTGTAGCAAGAGCCCCGGCCTGGGGTCAGGGGATGGGATTTGACACTCAGTCCCGTCAGTTACAGACTGGGTATCCCTAGGAAAGCTGCAACTTAGCCCAAATTTCTACATCTTTGAAATGGAAATATAATAGTGCCTATTTGTGGACTTGTTGGGTAGGTTAAATGAAATTCATTAATTTGCTTAATTATTTGTTAAATACCTACAGGCACTATTTTAGACATTAGCAATATAGCAGGTAACAAAAAAGACAAAAATCCTTGCTCTAATAGAATTTATATTCTAGAATATAATACACATAATGGCATTTAATAAATGTTTGATCATATCCATCGGAAGCTCTGTGATGAACTCAATGAGTTTTTACTGTGTATTTCCATGGGTTTTTATGTTCCAACAATATGTAATTAGGGCCATTATTGAGGCTCATGTCTGAATTGATATAACCCTGGAGAAATCCCATTTAGTAAAACCTGTATGTGCTCTTGCTAAATCCTGGTGTGCTTAGAAAGTCTGCTGCCCTTGAACTGAGTTTCTGTCATCTTCACCTCCGTAAAGTGCTTGGTTCAAACAGTCCAGCCGTCAGCTGAGGATGGGGGATGCAGGTGGTATTGTGGCTGGATGATTTCCTCTCGGCCATTGTGTTTGCTTTCTGAGACTTAATGTAATTTCACAGAGTTGCTAAGGTGTTTGTGTAATTATTAAAAGTAAGTCAAAGGGCTAGCATGGCCAGTTAAAACCCACAGACCATATTTTAGTGAATAATTTCTACTTTTCCTTTCTAAACCTTTGATTAGCCACCCCATCAAAGAACAAAATGGACAAATTGAAGGTTCCAGTTTATTTTTTTTCCTCCATTGCCTTCCCTCGGGGCTTTTTCTTTAAGCACTAAAATGCCCAAAATCCATGAAAGGACAAAGGACAGGCCTAGACAGCAAACCTCAGGGGAACGGCACGCTGCTGGAAATCGCACGCTGCCTCTTTTTTTTTTTTTCTTATAGCATAACTGTGTACATTAATGCAATCATGGGGTACAGTGTGCTGTCTTCATATACAGCATACTGCCTCTTGAGTGGTGTGAGTCCATCCTCACCTTCCTGTGCTATCGTTTTTCTAATGCAGTATTTCAGATTTCCACTGGTGTGCATCCCATTTTGTTAAAAACGCAAACAGGAAATTGTTTTCTGGCCGAATGACCCTTATGGCCCGGAAAAAAAAAAAAAGGTTATTTTTCTGGTGAGACATAACTTTAAAAACACTCCCACAGTGGACACCAAAGGCTCATCATAAGCTTTGTTCTGCCTCAGAACAAGGCCAGCGATAGGATGTTGGTGTAGGAACTCATGTACGAGGATTCAGAGGATTTGTCACCAATGGCCAAACGGTGACAAATAACCAATGGACAGGACCGAAGCATCTCCTATTACCTGGAAAGCAGCTGCACGGCATAGCCTGTCTATGCTCCAGGGAATTACAGGCTGGGCATTACCTGGACGAGGAGGTTTGGTCCAGAGGAATGTGACGCGGCACTGACAACATATTGCTGGGTGTCAGTGCCCTCTTCTCTGCTCCAGTCCCCTGTCATCTGGCCTCCCATGACCTCCTGTGCTCCCGCTGTGGCTTGCCTGTGTGATGACGAGTTTTCTGGTTGTTATGTCTTGCAGCCCCCCGAATCCAAGCCCAACTTCACCCCTCTCGCCATCTTGGCCCATGTTCTCGGCGCCATCCAGCCCTGTGCCCACCTCATCCACGCCCAGCGACTCATCCCCCGTCAGGTCTGTTGCAGGGTTTGTTGGGTTTTCTGTTGCTGCCGTTGTCCTCTCATTGGCTTGGTCCTCTCTTCATGCAGTGTTCAGCCTCCTCGTCAACTTTGTTCCCTGCCATCCAAACCTGCACTTGCTTTTTGACAGGCCAGAAGAAGCAGTTCGTGAAGACTCCAGGTAAAATCTCGGATGATGACCGATCTGTTCCTGTTTATCCAAAGCTGCTCAGGGTCAACCGGGGGCTGCCTCTGTTTTCCTTTGGTTCCATCCCAAGCGATCAAAAGCTGGAAGGGCCCATTTGCATGAACCAGCATGGCATCTCCCACACTCTTTTTTAACCCCAACTCTGGTTTCTGAATTAATCTCTGGTGCCTGCCGTTTGGAGAAAGGGCACATTTCAATGGCTCTCAATTTTGTGGGCTCTCTGTGCTTTAGTGTGAGATGATATAAGCTGGAAGGGTATTCTGACATGTGCTGGCCTTTTCTTCTCTCATTTTTATCAGGTAACATCAGGCAATGCCTATTGATGGGGTTGGCCACTGGCCATGAGCAGTGGGACTCCTAGTCTCTGAGACCAGATCCTCTGGGTGAGAAACATGACACAGAGTAAAAGCTTGAGATATGAAGTGATTTATCTTAAATGCTTCTGGCTTGTGCCTCCTTGTCCTCCCCATACCCCAGGAATCATCTGAGCTCTCATGGGAATGGGCACCCCCTCTTTCTGAGGGCCAGCAGCTCAGCATGGTTCCTCTGCCCAAGGGCCATGCTGCAGTTTTCCCTGCTTTCATGACATCCAGACTTAAGTGCCACCGTCCTTTCCCCTTGTGCTCTTTGAAGAAAATAAGCTCTTTAAGTTCAAGAGAAGAATTTAATAAAGACCCTGCTGAATGCCCCTGCTATGAGGTCCTGAGCATGGGTATCTCTCGAACTGAGTCTCTGCTTTCAAACGACTAAAACCTAGAGCCCAGTTTTAAGCATCATAAGCGTTTTGGGCTTTAGCAGTATTTTCTCATCCATCTTTTTCTCGTAAGGGGTGGATCCAGCAGAGAGGCTTAAATAATTTATAAAGCTGAGTCTCACTTTTCAAAAAAGAAAACCCCATGCTATTAATATACACAGTTACATATATTACTTTATTCCCCACCAGGTGCTTTCACATCCATCATTTCATTCTACCCTCATGTGAGAATGAGAAGAGAAAAGGCCGGAACCCTATTATAGAAAAGGAAAACTAAGGCACAGTGAGGTGACTTAGACACAGTCACATGATTAAATGAGAGCCAATCCAGAATTCAGGGGCTCTCCCCCGAGCACTCCTTCCTCCAAACGAGAGGGTAGCCCCCAACTTTTACATTTCCATGGAGCTCACAGCCCCAGAGCCTGGCCTGCTCTTGTAGGTTTGATACAGCTTTCTACCTAGCCTTGCCCTGAATGATGGGCATCTATTCTGAAAAAGAGAGCTTTTCAGTATAGTCTTTTTTTCCCCCTTAGTTTAAGAAAAAAAAAAAAAAAAAAGATTTTCCTGAGATAACATTCAAGTTATTTCCTAATTATTTCTTAGGCATCTTCTGGGTACTTTGGGAGACGTTAACTTTGCAAGACACAGAGATGGTGTGGATGATTCTGGTAATATCACTGGTTGCCCTATAAAGACCCAAACCAGAGTAAACACAGTAACCAGACACCGTCACCTTCCAAAATGCTCACTTACTTGTTAGAGAGACTGGAGCATAAGGAGACTGTGGCTCCTTCATTTTCACTGGAAGAGAGTAAATTATTCAAAATGTCAGCCCCTTGGACAAAATGGGTTAAGGGACTGAGGACCATGGGTCATTCAGCTAAAAAACTGACATGCACTCTGTCTGCAGTGAAAATATTACATTTTGTGTGTTTCTGAGCTGTAGGGCTGTGGTGCTTATCAAGTATTTCTACCTCTCCACACCTTTCATCTCCCAAAATATTTCCAACCTATTTTTGCTTCACATACTCTTTTCCACCTCCCAGAGTACTTCTAGATTGGCAGAGGACAGTAAGTGACAAGAGACTCTGCTCACCTGGTGTGTTTAGGGTGGTGTTTACTCAGTACTGCCCTCTCTGGCCATGGTTAGGATTGCACCATTTGGACACCCTTTAGAAAGCTGCCATTTTGAAATAGGCAGAGTAGGGTTTGGGATTGGCTGTCACTGAGCTGAGTGTGTGCCAAGGTAAATGCAGATAGGGACATTGTGGGTAGCTAGCCCATCAGAGAAATAGAGAGAGCTCAAATCCCCTGTTATTGCAACAAATTGCCAAGAGGTGGGGGCATGCACCCATTATTCATGTCCAGTGGGGCCTTCCCCCAGATCCAGAATATGAAGCCTCAGATTTTCTTCCCTGGGCAGAGCTTTTAAAAATAAATACTTAATTAGACCTAATTTATGATCCCATGAACTTCTCCATGATGTCTCCTCTAGAAATGGCTTCCTGTCCTCTCTTCAAACATTTTTTTAGAGCTTGTTTGTTCAGGCTCCGGAGTGAAGATGCCTTTTGCCGTGCTACAGAGAAAGGGTGCTGGAGGAACATCTCCTCCATGCTTCCCTTTCCTTTTACTCATCCACCTCCTCCCAGAAAAGCCCCCACTCCCAAAACCATAATTTGCATTTGCACAGGTGCCACTGGAAATTGCTCCTAAATGAAGCCGCTGCCACCTGCCAGTCCAGCTGCCCCACCTCTCTGTCATGCCCTATACTGGAGAGTGGGTTGTCATTTTGCAAGGCTTGCAAGGGCATGTGAGGGAAACTCCTCTGAGTGCTTTCTAGGCCTGGTGCCATGCTCAGAGGTGAAAACTGAAAGTGAACTAGCATGAGGATCCATACTCCTTCGTGCCCTTAAAGGCCCGGCTGAGGTCCTGAAGGTGCTGGGACAGGCTGTGTCTGGTGTTTAAATGCACAGGGGGGAAAGAGAGCCAAAGAACCAAAGATGTTTGGTGGGGATTTTTAATTTTTTTAATCAAAGCCAAAGCCTGCAAATACAACCTCTGTGCCAACAGGATCTGGTTTTTAAGAACTCTACCTAAAACAAACTGCTCAAGGCTTTTGAGAGGGAGTTGTGTGACACTGAACTTGTTGGGCTGGCAAACTTTTTAAAAGATAAGACTTAACCCTGGGGAGGGTTGCCAGGTTTAGCAAATAAGAAAGATACAGCATACCCAGTTAAATTTTAATTGTAATTAAACAATAAATAATGTGTTAGTATGTGTATGTCTAAGCCAATATTTGGGAGGAAGAGAGATGAACAGGTGTGGCCCCTTTGACAAGCATTCCTCCTCTCCTCCCTCCCAGTCTGTGCCCATCCTGAGGGCCTGGGAGCGGGGCTCAGGGAGAAAGACCCTCCCATAGACTGTTGGTCACCTGTTAACCTGAGGTGTTGACCTTTGTTGTACTTTTAATGTACTATTTTATTATCATTTCATTATTCATTTTCAAAAACCAAATATTAGTGGAAAGTGACTCCGTTTGAGTGAGAATCTTGGGCACCTGAGACCATTCCCTCTGCCTTCTACCTGCCAAATACCCCAGCTGGTTTCCCTGGTTGCCCCTGTTTTGTCCCATTACTTTCCTTTAATGAGGTTAATAAGTAACCTCTAGGAAAATGCAGCCAGAGGAACCTTGCCTCAGGTGCTGTTTCTCTGACCTTTCATGCCCCATGCCCGGCCTCTGCACTTTACCCACCTGCTCTGCCTGTCCTCAAGAGGCAATAATGATGCCTCGAAACTGGGTCTCTAAAACCCTGGCCCATGCGGCTGAATTCTCCTTCCGTGTTGTGACCAGTTCCATGGGCCTGTCAGTATGGCATTTTTGGCTGTTTTAGCACTTTCCACAGCCAGGTCACGCCTACTTTCTGCGTCCCACCTCCTCCAATAAATAAATAAGTAAATAAATGAAGACTTTTATGTCCTAAGTGCACATTGGATTTTGGCTCTTGCTAGTCAACACGTAGACTTGGTTGAGTTAGATCACAGAATGTGCCCCTTGTCCTGAAGTTTATTCTGTAATCATAATTAAACAGGAAGCACGGTCTTGCAGCTGGAGCTGATGCATACTAAAGGCTCCTCATTTTCCTTCATTCCCAGCGGTCCCACTTCATTTTCTCCTACTTCCCCAATTTTTCCCACCTGACCATCATCTCTTGGCTACTAGAAAACTAGAGAGAGTGACAGTAAACTGTAGCCCAGCAACAAATTCTGGATAATTGTTTACTCTGATCACTCTGCGTAACAGAGACCATATGGCCCACAAAGCCCAGAATATTTACCGTCTGGCCCTTTACAGGAAAGCACTGCCAACCTCTGCTCTAGAGCATTTGGTTCTCAGCCCCGGTTACACGTAGGAATCACTTGGAGAGCTTCTTTAAAAATACCAATGCCTATGTTAATATCTGCACACCGGGGTCAAACCCAGATATCTGCATTTTTTAAATGCCCCCTAGGTGATCCTGAGGCAAGGTTGTCCACACTCACTGGACATGAAATTGGAAAATTAAAATGAGTTGTGTCCCTCTCCCCCTTCCTCCTCCCACACTCCACATACAGGTACGCACGTGTGCTCACGCACACACATGCGTAACTGCTCCCACACACAACTTTTCTATTCCCTGCCCTACCCTGGGGGTCGGAGAGTTCTAGCTCTGGAATCCTGCCCCACCAGCAAGACCCAGCCTAGTGAGAAATAAGGAACATCTGGGACGGCTAATGTCAGCCCGCAGCCTGGAGCTGAAACTTGGCTTTGCTAGAATTTCTCCTTTTTGATTCACTGAGCATTGCCAACTTTCAACAGAGTCTGTTGGGAGTATTTTCCAGCGCAGCTTGGAAGTTCTTTCCTGCCTCTGCTTCCTGCCCTTCCCCCATGGTATTCCTGCTCCAAAAATGAGGCCCCGCCAGCCCTCCCACCGCTCAGCTGCTGTAACTCCCAGGTAACACCGTGCCCCCAGAAGACGTGCGGTTTCTTGGCGCTCACGGCTTTACTCTGAATATTTCTCATTTTTCTCCTGTGACCTTTACAACTTTTCCACCTCATGTTTTGCCATCTGGCTGCCTTGTCAGGCTCTTCCCACGAGAGAGGTCTAGGTGGCTTACAGGGAAAGGGAAGAAGAGAAATTAAATATCTGGGGCTTTCTGAGGGTTTTTTAAAAATGTTAAATAAACTCCTGTTTTCACACAGCACACCGTTCCGGAAGGCGAAAGCCTTGTATGCCTGCAAAGCTGAACATGACTCAGAACTTTCGTTCACGGCAGGCACAGTCTTCGATAATGGTGAGTTTCTCAACCCCTTGCAAACATGTGTGGTGGGGCAGTTGGGGGTAGGGGTGGACCAAATAAATAAATAACGGGCATTTTCAAAGTTCCTACTGAAGAAAAATCTCAATAGGGTGGGAAAGACCAAAAAAGAGTGTGTGTGTGTGTTTCTATGTCTAGGCCCAAAATAAGACAGCAGCAGCAGGACCCTGGGAGGCATTATGAAGAGTAAGTAGGCAGGTGGAGTCAGCTCCTCGTTGTATTGTTATGAACATCAAATAAGAATGTGCCTGCAAAGGACTCAGCCCAGTACCAGGCAGTGACTTTGGGAGGTGATACCCATGACTTGTTTAAAATAGTACTCAGCTCATATGAAGCATCAATACGTTATTATTGTAAAGACTGTTGGCGGCGGCATCATCACTGCATCTGTCTTAGGAAAAACCCTAGTACTCTGCTGTGACAGTCTCTCCTTTTTAGCTAATATAGCTCAGGCCTGAGCGTTCGGCTGGAGAGTAGGTTCTGCACCTGACTTCCTGATCTGGCTGTGTCTATAAAGGCTTCATATTCTAAGCCGAAGCAGAACCGGGCTCCTGGGACCAGCCCCAACTCCAACTATGAGCAGCCCTTGCTGCTCCATGTGCCCAGAACTGTGTCCAGCATAGAGGTATTCACAGGTGGTCCTCAAAGTCAAAAACACTGTCCTTCACCCTGTGCTCTGTTAGCTTGCATCTGGGCCCTTTCCAGATCGAAGTTCACAAAGAGCCAGCCGAGTCTCCTCTCCTGTCAGCAGCTGGTGCTTTCAGGCCCCAGCACACTGCAGGTGCAGTAGGTCTGCTGGAGGCTGCCCAGAGCCACATCACTGGGGAGTGTCTCCTGCATAGGCCTAGGTGGGGGAGTCCCAGCCCTGCCGTAACATGACACAGCTTTCACGGCAGACAAACCAGAATGGGCTGCATTGCACAGTCTTCTGTGCCCTGCTCTGTCAGCAGGGGAGGGGTTTCTGCCTATAGATGAGCATGCTTTGAGAGATTCCTACATTTACAGGTAAATGCAGGGCTCAAAGGTCTGACCTCTAAATCCCAATTCACTATTGACATGGGCAAGGGACCACCATGTTCCTATTACCTATTTGCTCGGACAACCCTAAGGACCCCTGATGCCAGGGACAGAATTGGTTTAAACTATCAAAAGGCACGTGTATGCTTGTGCGTCTTATCTGGGGCTCCTTTTGGTGAGTGCAATCTTCTTTTCTTTCTTCCTGGCCAAGAGTATGGTATATTCATTCGTTCTCTCTTTAACAGTTTTATCAAGAATGCCAATTTAGGGCGGTGCCTGTGGCTCAAAGGGGTAGGGCGCTGGCCCCATATGCCGGAGGTGGCGGGTTTAAACCCAGCCCTGGCCAAAAACTGCAAAAAAAAAAAGAAAAGAATGCCAATTTACCTGTTTGTTTTTAGTGTATTTAGAGTTGTGTAACTATCACTGCCATTTAATTCCAGAATATTTTCATCACCCCGCAAAGAAACCCTGCAACTTCAGCAGTCAGGCCTCATTTATCCCTAAGCCTCCTCCATCTGGCCCATGGCTGTCCACTGCTCCACCTCGTCTTTGTAGACTTGCCTGCTCTGGACACTTCATATAGATGGAGTTACCTTAGTAACTGGCTTCTTTCTCTTTGCATAATGTTTTCAGGGTTCGTCCATGATGTAGCGTGTAGCACAGTGGTTCTCAACCGGTGGGTCGCAACCCCTTTGGGGATCGAATAACCCTTTCACAGGAGTCGCCTAAATACATCCTGCATATCAGATATTTACATTAGCGTTCTAACAGTAGCAATGAAAATAATTTTATGGTTGGGGGTCACCACAACATGAGGAACTGTATTAAAGGGTTGCGGCATTAGGAAGGTTGAGAACCACTGATGTAGCAGCACTTCATTCCTTTCTGTGACCAAATAATACTCCCTTGTCTGGCTATAACCGCATTTTATTTGAACTCATGCATCAGTTTGATGGACATGTCTATTGGTTCCACTTTTTGACTGTTTGAATAATGCTGCTGTGAACATTCATGTGTAAGTTTGGGTGAGGACTCATGTTTTCAGCTCTCTTGGTGGGCTTCAGCTCTCGTGGGCTTATTGGGTTGGGTTCTAGGGTAACTCTGTTTAACTGTTTGAGGAAATGTCAGATGCTTTTACAAAGCAGTCATACCACTTTACATTCTTGCCTTCTTTTATTTTTAAGTCTTCTTCTTGAAGTATCAATAGTTTAAAAAGTTAACCTCCCCCTCAAAAAGAAAAGATGTGCGGAGATACCCAGGTGATGTTTAGCCACCAATTCCTCTCCTTGCTGGCAGGTGCTCTGATGGGCTCCGTCACTGCCCCCTCACAGCTCAGTAATCATCACGAAGCCTAACATGATGATAACTGAGAGCAGGAGGGACGTCCAGGGCGTCAGAGGCCTCACGGGGCCTTCCTGGGGTCTCTGCAGTCATGGGAAGGCTCATTGATACTGGTTTGTTTTTAACCAGAAATGCCAGTGACCTTTCAAATTCCCTGAAGAGCAAAAGGCCAAGTTAAATCTTGAAGAAAACACTTCCCAGTGTTGATTGCCCTGCAGTCAAAGATAGATCTGATGAAATGTTAATCCACTGTCTAGATTGGTTGGGCTGAGAGTATCTTATGAGTTCCTATTTCTAGAAGAACAGGCTTACCTATACCCTATTGCCCACCTCCCTTCATTTCTATTGGGAAAATCAGGCAATATAGGAGAAAAACTATTACCATGTTGGGTAGGGGGTATTTTTCCTTGTTTTATCTCTCATTAGTTTACTGCTAGAGATACTAGGTAAGGGCTGTTTAACTTGGATGATCTGTAGCTAGCAGACTAATGCATGAGACCAACACACAGGTGTGTGTGTTTTCTTCAGGATTAAGAAAAACGAATGAGGAGGAGGAAGAGGGAGGGGCCCCTGGAGGGGAAAGGCTGTTGTTTCGTAATGATTAATCTCTGAGCCTTTGGATTCCAGGGGCTGGTGTTGTGCCTGTGGAGTGGCTGCTGCTCAGTCAGCTCATGGACTTTGTGCAGTGGGGAAGGGATGTGCAATACTTGGAAATAACTCCAGTGGCAGCCCTCGCCAGTCTACTAGGAAACTGTCCACTTCACCAGGAGCACCTCAGACAGTAACTGGAAAGAGAAATAACTTGTGTTCTCAGGAACATTAGTCGTGGAAGCAACATGATTAGTGCTACCTGGAAAATTCATATGGCAGTCACTCAAATTGGCTTCTGGGGATACTTTTATCAGGACCTGAGATGCGCTGGATCCACTGATTCCCATGCCACATGATGTAGCACCCGTGCCAGGCAGGGCTGTCCTGAGTTTCCTTTGCTGATGGAAAAACGTCCTCACCAGGGACCCCTCAAGCTTCCCAGGAAATGGGATTGCAGGAGGACTCCTCTGGGGGTGGCCATCGGCCTTCCCAGCCATCCCCATTGCCATAGTCAAGTCCAGGCCACCTGTGTCTCTCACCTGCCCGTCTCTCTCAGCCACCCACCTTGTCTCGCCACTTCCACTTCTTGCCCCTATGACCTATTCTTCACATAGCAACAAGAGTGATCTTAGAAAAATAAACATCTGATCATGTTATTCCCCTGCTTAAAATCCTTCAGTGGCCTTCTGTTGCTCTGAGAATTACTCACAAGGCCTTCAGTGGCCCAGTTCTGGCCCCCCTGGCCTCCTCTCACCCACACATGACACACTGCAGCCTGCACAGGTCTTTATGTTCTCAAGTAGAGTCAGCAAACTATGACCTGCCGGTCAATTCCAGCCCACCACCTGTTTTTGTAAATAAAGCTTTCCTGGAACACAGCCACCCATGCCTTTTGGTCTGCATGTTATCTGTGGCGCTGCAGAGTTGAGTAGACAGACACGTTTGCTAACAGGTCCTTTAGGAAGCACCTGCTGATCACTATTCTAAAATCTCTTCAGCCTTTTCCCCGTCTTAGGCCCTTAGCCTTGTGTTTCCCACTCACTGCCTGGCTGGCCCCTTTGGATCCTTTAGGTATTAGCATTTCGAGCTCCTTCCCACCTGCTCACATTCTTGTCCCAGTCTGTCATTCTCCTCTTTTCACTCCATAAAATTACATACTTGCATATTGAGAGAATGTCCCTCCTCAAAAGCAGAATCTCGTCTGCTATGTGCAGGGACCTAGCACAGGGTCTGGGGCATGGCAGGCACCCAGGAAGCATTTATTAAATGAATGAATGCATGTTAACTACACCAGGGTCAGCACCTCTTCCTGGTAGGGATTCTTCTCGGGCCAGAAAGCCATTAGAGATCTTAATCACACCAATCCTTGCTCCTTGTCCACACTGAGTGAAAGAGAGGAGAGAGCCAGATTGTACGTGCAGGGCTGTGTGGGGTGTATGAGGATAGAGCTGAGAGAAAGGGGTTGGCAGGAAGCAGGCCCATGTCCACAGCAACTTAAATTTATTACGTGCTTGCCAGGCAGGAGAGCGCCCGGCAGCCTGCTGCCACACCTTCTGTGTTTACGTAGCACCTGGGACCCCGCTGCAGCTTAGCCCCAAGAGCACTTAGCATTTTCCATGCTCAGAACATCAGGCCCAGCAATGGCAGTGGTGGTCCTGGGCTCCAATTCACCTCTGTCATCTACCAGGTGTGGACTTTGGGGTGAGATGCTTGACCTCTCTGAGCCCATTTTTCTTTCTTTCTTTCTTTTTGAGACAGAGCCTCAAGCTGTTGCCCTGGGTAGAGTACCATGGCATCACAGCTCACAGCAACCTCCAACTCCTGGGCTCAAGCTATTCTCCTGCCTCTGCCTCCCAAGTAGCTAGGACTACAGGCGCCCCCCACAATGGCCGTCTATGTTGTTGTTGTTGTTGTTGTTGTTGCAGCCTTCATTGTCGTTTGGTGGGCCTGGGCTGGATGCAAACCTGCCAGCTCAGGTATATGTGGCTGGCGCCTTAGCTGTTTGAGCCACAGGTGCCAAGCCTCTGAGCCCATTTTTCATTAGTAAAATGAGGATGATAGCAGAACCAATTCCATATTCACTCTGAAGCTAGAAGAAGGAAATGCAGGTGGAGCCCATACCAGCTGATGGCTACCACTTAGCGTGGGCACTGTTCTTATCCTCAAGGGTCACACTCGCTGGCTAAGCAGAGGCATGACGGGAAAGGGCCTGGTCTCTGGAGCCAACCAACTGGGTTCAAATCCTGGTTCTACTATGATGACCATGCACAAATTAATTTACCTTTCTGAGCTTTAATTTTCTCACCTATAAAATTGGGATAATACCAGTATAAGCTGGGATCATGAGGATCAGATGCATCAATATGCCTAAAACTGAGTGTGTAACAGCTCTATAGCTTTTTTTTTTAAGTGTTCACATTATAATTCTTGAGGCAGAAGGGAGTTACTAAATGTTGTCTAGCCAAGGAAGGGTATAATGCAAACCAAATGCACTAAAAAACTAGATAGACAAACAAAGCTTAACATGATTGAATGGCATATTAACAGGGCCCGTTAACGTGTGGGATGTACTGTGAGCATTCTAGGAGTCTGGCGGAGGGAGGGAGCAGGTAGAAGGGATTCTGTGGCAGTATTTGAGAAGGAGGTGGGGCTTTAGCCAAGCCTTGAAGCGTGAGGATAAGAAACAAGGCAACAGAAAAAAGGGACCCATCTGGTACCGTCTCCCTCCTCTGTGAGTTAATGGGAATTTACATTTTAATTCTTCTACCACCTTTTTATTAAAGAGGCCTTGGCAAAAGTCAAGGTTCCAAACTTGCTGTAAACTAGTTAAAATGCAGGTTCCTGGGCCCCACTCCCAGAGATTCGCTTTAATTGATTTGCCATGGGGCCCAGGAATCCAGTTTTAATAAGCATCCAGCCAATTCTCACGCACATGGCCTGTTACTGTTCTTTAACGAACCTGACTTGAAGACTCCAGGGAGTCATCAGCCTGACCCAAAGGCTGCTTTATTCCCTGTCTCCCTGTGACATACCTCTTGGCCTCCAGTTCAGAGGACCACCCTTGACCCCTCTGATTCTCAGTCTACAAATTCCATCTCTGTTACCAGCTCAGTAACTGTGCTGTGTATGAACAAGCAGCCAGGAAGGGAGAAATGTCTGGAGGAGATGGACTGGGTGCCTCAGGTAGAGTGACAGCTCCACTGGGGGCTTTGCTGTAAAGCCGGAAGGTTTGGGAGGGGGGGTGTGATTTTGATTGGTTGGTTTAGTCCCTCTAGGTCTTTTATTTGGGGGAACGGGTTTGACCGATTTTGACTCTAAACATTTAAAGCTTCCTAACCCTTAGGTGAGTGCTGAGACTAGCCCTCACCCAGGCTTACTAGGACGGAGTTTTGCTGAGTAGCCCAAAAGCCTGTGAAGTGACTGAGCCTTCGCTTTGTGCCTGTGGAGTATTGGGAGTGCTTTATCCTCATTGGCTCATTAATACTCATAAGAATCCATGGAAAGGAGAGAATTTTATCATCACCACTTTATACACAGAAACTGATGCGACCTTGGCAGCTTCAGCTATGTAGCAAATGGGCAGAGGGTAGAGGTATTTGGGTATTAGCAGTAGTACAGGAAAGCTTCAGTCACTGGAGAGTTCAGGTTGCTTTTAAAGATATATGTATTCTTCCCAGACTCTTCCTTGTGTGAGTTGTCATGAATCCAAAGCATCCTTGCTCCTTTGGGTTTATTCCTGAAGCCTGTGAAATTCTCCAAGTCCTATGGAGGCTCACTAACTGATGGCTGCCTTGGCCTTTTCCCGAGGAAGCTTTCAAGATCTAGGCACGTTGACACTGGTGTTCTGTAACTCAGTCTCTCTTCTTTTGCTGCCTCTCATTTGCTTCCTTTGGTTTCTGTTCTAACATCTTTCCCTACAAACTGAAACTAGAACTATATAGTAATATTGGGACGGAAATGCTTTTCTAAAACAAGCTCAGGAAGTCACTTAATTAGCCCAGGAAGGGAATAGGGGAAAATTCATTCTCTTCAAACAATCTTGGAGAATTGGAGTTTTCCTAATACATTAAGAATAAACGCCCTGCCTCTCCCCAGAGTGATCTGTGGCTCTGTGGTTCATATGCATGAACCACACCCACCTCTGAGTCCCATGATTCCTTCTCTCTTCCTTCCTGCTATTGACTACTTTGCAGACTCAGCTGGATTTTATATAAGCTTTATAATAGCACAGTGGTTTCCAGGGGGATGGACTGTGATTTCACAAAAGTAGATATATAAACTCTTTGGATACTGAAAAATCAGAGTGGCAGAAATTTTGAAAGTTGCAATAGAGGAAGAAGACAGTTTTCAGATTTGCATGTAGGAGAAAAGGAAATTCTGGAGAACAGGGAAAAACTAAGGGTGAGGGGTGGTGAAACAGAGAGAGGGGCTATTCAAAGGATGTAAAATGACAAGAAGTACACACATGGGGGGAATTTGCAAGGAAATTGCATATTTCCAGCGCATAAGGATTTGAAGGGAAGTAAAATATATGCTTAGAAGCTAGACATCTTTAAAACTAGGTCTTAGCCGTCTTCCATGGGCACTGCACTTGGGACCTCATTGAAACTGAGTGAGTAGGTGGCTGGATGGATGGACAGCTGGACAATTGATGACTCTCACTTCTTTATAGTTTTAACCAAAAATTTTGGAAGTTCATAAAACCCCTAAAATTGTGTGTAAAATGTTGAATGTCTACATCTGTTTCCCTTCCATTGGGGGAGAACGTTCAGAACAGCTTTCATCAGAAGACTCATACCCCACAAAAGGTTAAGATCTTCTGTTTTCAAAAAGTCTAGAATTATGTTACTTAACAAGTGATTGTGTTAATTCTTCAAACTTCCTTCACACCCGCACACACAGCACAGCCACCTCCTGCCCTATCTGTAACGTCATCTCATTCGCTCTCCTTCCTGTACAGTTCGTCCGTCTCAGGAGCCTGGCTGGTTGGAGGGGACTCTGAATGGAAAGACCGGCCTCATCCCGGAGAACTACGTGGAGTTCCTCTAACCATGGGCCCCAGCAGAACTGCTGAGCTTTACATGGTATCCATGACAACTGCTGATTCCAGTGTTGTAGGCCATTTCTCTTTGCCACTGAGAAATGCAGCGTGACTGAGTCTGTTGCTACCTGTGAACGCGAATGTTTCTGTGAGCTCTGGTGTCACCTATCTCCGTGATCATCTCAGCTGACACTTGGCGATACTGCAAGAAGCAGAAGTCAATCAGCAGGGGAAGCCTTTTGCTTTTGGTAACGGAGAGAAGGCTTGCAGAGCCCTCCTCGCGGGAGGACCCTAACTAGGGAGCACTCCTTTTGCTTCGACAGTCATCCAAACCCCCAGCCTTCCGGAAGAGGAAGCAAAGCCCTTGAGAGCATACCGCATAGCTAAGTCTGCCAGGGCTGGATGGAAAAATTGGCACCGAGACCCAACTGGGTCCTTTGCTTTTGTTTACATTAGACACTCTCCCTGCCCCACCTCTAAATACTTGAGACCCACAGTGCTGCAGGCAGCTGGGCCTCTCTCTTTGCACGCAGGATGAAGGGGGTTACAGCACTGCTTATGTAAGATCCAATCTCTCACCACCTCTGGAGCAGCCCTTGGCCCATCATCAGTGCAATTCAGTCCGGTCCGCCTCTCATGCAAGGGAACACCCCCCCCACACACAACATTTCCTCCTCCCCAGCTAGGAACTTCTCTGCCACCAAGGGTTGCTGTCACCTAGTAACCATGGCAACTCAACCTACTCTAAAACCAAACCAAACCAAAAAAAAAAAAAAGAATACTTTTTGCCTGATACATTTTTTTCTCTCTCCCCACAACACTTTAGGTAGTTTTTTAAAGTGGGTTTTCAACCACCTGAAGGAGAAGATCAAGGAATTGGGGTGGTCTACTTAGGGTAGATAGGATAGCAGATGGGAACCGTTCCCTTGCTGATGAATTTCAACAGCATCAGGATATATTTGGAGCAAACTCTAGTAACCTCTGAGATTAAATTACATACAGGCTTATATTTCTGTTCTTCTGGGAAATTGGTGTTTGCTTTCGAGTGGGTAAGATGCTGCCTTCCCTTTGTCTGACAGGGTCCCCATGTCCTGTGTCCACTCATAGCATGTCCATTCATGCTGCCTTCCCTCTGTCTGACAGGGTCCCCTGTCCTGGCCTTGCCTGCCTCTAACCCACCACTGACCCAGCCCCCTTGCACTGCTCGGGACTACTGACTAGCACTGGGGATGATGGTGGTTTTCAAGGATTAATTCCTGGGCTTACCCCTATGGCCAGTTTAGAAGGATATCTGTGTTCACTGCCACTCAGAAAAAGGGAATTCTCAGTCTTTCAAGGCATGAGACTAACATCCTAAGCTGTTGTGATTCAGGAAGATACTAGAAGGTTGGGGCACCGAGGGTGGGATGGGTGCCTAATGAGAAAGGGAATTTTCTGATCAAAAGGGTCTATGTGCTGTGGAAGGCTACCTTGGATGGGGAAGTTCTGCTTGGACTTTAAATCCACCCATCCTTTAAAGAGTAGCGTCATCAGTGTCTTCCACATGGAATGTCCTTGCAAGGGTGACTCTGGTTAAACTACAGAGTCCCGTCAGCTCCCAGGAGCCCTCACATGGCAGCTCCAGAGTGCTTCCTGCTTCTGGAATTCCTCACTGGGGAACTTCAAAGAAGAAAAGAAAAACTTGAATTGTGTTGAATTACTGTACCTTTTACATTTTTTTGAAAAGATAAACTTGTAAATAGAGTGATTTGAAATACTATATGGTAAAGTTTTATATTTGATATTCTTTAAGCCTAGTTGCTTTGATTTAGGCTTTGATTGTTGAATAGGCAGATTTCAAAGGGAGAGAGAGGAGGCGAGGTTGCAGAGAGGGGAGGTCTTCAGGTCCTCTCTGGCCTGGCGGGAGGAGAAGACATTCCCAGGTGCTCACTTTCCGCTGGTTCTGGTGGGTGTGACACGTCCCCATGTTCGATCTTTACTTACATGTGCTTTTCATCATTCCTGGGGCTTTGGGTTTGGAACTGGAAAGAGCATCATGAGGCATTGAGTTTTTCAAAGAATTCTTACTTAGTAAGATGCAGCTCAGGATTTCAGTAGGTGGGGCCAGGGTTCCATTTTTAGTTTTTCTTCTCAGGTGTATTTCTTGGCACCCCCAAGATACAGGACAGGAGGTGAAACAATTACTGTGCCCCTTCCTCCTCTGCTCCACATCTTCTAAGGCTTTATAAATGAGGCCAAGCTAGTTCCCAAACTTTGTGTACATCTATAAGTTCTTTAAAAAACAGAAACAAAACCCCCAGCTTTTTATAATCTTTAGTTCTTGATGTGCTGCTGCTGCCCCTGTTCCTCGGCTTGTTTATTCCTTTCCCTTCTACCTCCAGGTTCCCTAAGACCCCCAAATAAGAAAAAGTCCCAGAGGAATGTACATTGTGCCATTACAGCTTTAAAGATGGCTTTAAAGTTATCAGGGGTTCATCGCTGCGAACCCCTCAGTCTGTCAGCCCCAGGATTTCACAGCTGTTATTCAGGAACTCACTGAAGAGCAAGCAGAATGTGACTGTTGAATCAGGGAATAAGAATAAGAAAGGGCAAGACCAGGATAGAACTCCAAAGAGCTATCGTTCAAAACTTAAAAAGAAAGGGCATGTATTCCTAGGGGGGCCTACTCCCTCTGGACTTGGAAGCAGCAAGTTAGGAGATGGGGCTTCTGGGCCTGTGCGTTCATATACCATTGGATTTCCAGTTAGCGCCAAGATGCTTTTTTAACATACTCAACATTTTAAGTTGTCATCTGCCCCTGTCAAAAGCCTACCTGGAGCTCGTGGAAAGGAACAGAAGGCCAAGACCCTTGCTCTAGGAGGTCCTCACTGAAGCATACCTGTGACACTTGGCCCCCTCCCTCCTGAGGTAACCCTGTTGAGAAGCCAGAGGGAAACAGAGCTGCTACGGATGGCATCCTTTAGCTAGACCCATTCGCAGCTTCCCTGTGGCCGTGCTGGGCCTGTGACGAGTGGCTGCCCTGCCTCCCTTTGCCCAGCCAACCTCCCTCCCTCCCCTTAGCTACAGAACTGGAGAAACTGTTCCGAATATGAGCCAACAAGTCCAAAGGCACTTAAAGACTAAAAATAGACTTTATTCTCCACTATCCAGGCCCCCAGCCCCCTGTCTCTGCTTGAACAGGGAACTTTAGTGGGTATCAGAGTGGAAAACCGTTGACCAGGATCCCTGGGCTTTCCCAACAGCCTCATGTTTCCTTTACAAGGCCCGGAGGTCAGGTAGCCAGAGCCTGAATCTTTTAGGAGTATGAAGATTTTTCTGTCCTTCGGGTTACTTGCTGAGTTTCTGAGCTACAGAATGCCATGCCGTGCAGAGATAACTGGTTTCAAATCCTTGCCCTATGGCAGTAAAATTGTGACTTGCTCAAGGCTGCAGCTAATCTCTCCTGCACCTCCAAGTGAGCACAGAGGGCGGACCCTGTGCAGTGCGGCCTGCCTTCACATCCTAGAACTGGAGCCAGCTTTGAGCTTAGTGTTTTTAGGATTTCTACAGCCAATATGTGTTTTCTTATGTCAGAACAAACTGTCTTTTCAACATCATTTCAGTTCATCTCTTCTTGCTGAGTGCTTTTTGGACGGAGAAGCGAAGAGAAAGAGAAAATGAGCAATCAAGTACTGACAGACTGCCATTCACAGACAGAGCCCTGCTGGTGCGGGGTCGTTTCAGGCACTCGCCCGGGACTCCAAGGTTGTGTGTGCCATCCCCATGGCTGAAAGGGAAGTCTTTCTGTCAGTGAGTGTATGTCTCCTGAAACTGGCAGCCCCAGTCACACTGAAAGTTCTTTCTTGACTGCAGAGGTTCCCAAAGCTTCCATGAGTGAGGGGGGTAAGAAGTGAGGAAGAAGCAGCCAAAGAAAGGCAGATTCCTGACTGTGAGCACCTTTCATCTTCTTTCTGCTTCCAGAAGCAAGTCTGGATCTCCGTGTTTTATAAACAGAACTTTCAGGTACAGCAGTGGCCACGATGGCACCCAGAGTTGGCTCTGGTATAGAGTATTTTATGAGCAACCAAGTTCACTTGGGTGACCAGTATTGAGGAAACAGCCTCTAAGCTACCTGACTTTAAAGGGAATGTCCTAGGTGCTCTGTCTGGGGAGTTATCGCTCATCTCTGACAAACCTGACACTAATCTTACCTTGACAACCCTCCCCACATCCCTTTAAAGACAGCAGGATGTCCCCTCACACACCCCGTGCTGGTGTTTCAGAAATGTGTCTGGTCGTGCTTAGTGTGTTTGACAGCCACACTCATCTGCTGGGTGCTGTACTGCTTGTCTGTAAAGGTGGCGTCAAAATGACAACAGCAGCAGAGCGGTGAACCTTGCACAATCCTGCAGGATGCCTGAGACAAGACTCCAACTAGTAATAATTAACTTTCTGCCTTTTGCCGCCTACATTACTTGCCTAACTAAAGAGCTTCCCAGAGTAGAGGGAAAGGCCCTATAGAGAATCCACGGTCAGTCAGAGCCAGCCCTTGCTGAAGCACCTGTATTCCTGGGAGAAAAAGTATGAGGTGTAAAGTAACATAGGGCCAGAGAGAAAAGGCAGGTGACCCAACCACACTGAGGAACTTGGGTTTTGTTTTCTTTTTTTTTTTTTTTTAAAGAAGGATAAATATTCTCCCTTAATAGGGAGAAAACTCACAGGAAAAATTCATAACTAACATTTTTATACAAGTTTTGCAGGACATTACAAAATGAAAACAGCTTACAAATATCAAGGTAGAGTGCTTTAGACAGCCAAGACTCAGCATAGCCCCAGACCTATGGTCGCAAGTGCTGTTCTGTCAAATTCGCTTTAGTGGAGTCAGTAAGAACCAGAGTGTTAATAACCAAAATGTCGAAGTTCCCTGGAGCAGTTGTAGGGAGGCTAAGAACATTCTACACCATTCTATAGAAACCATTTCTACAAAGTCATCCAAACAGACGTTTTCAAGAAGCTTTCTTGGGTATCCAGATGGCAGAACCAAGCTTGTATCTGAATATATACACTGATGATTCCAAAGTATATATGTATGAATGTGTGTGTACAGCACATATTTACATAAAGACACAGACTTACAGAAACCCACAGGAGCTGTCAGTCAATGGGAGTCTACGGCCTTCAAGATTTGGAGGTTGAGAATTAGAGGAGAGAGGCTGTTGATTGCCATCAAAATGATCAAAGATGTAAATTAAGTACCATTTTAAAACTGTGTTCATAGTTATCAAATGGTTACTATTTGCAGCTACGTTCCCTGTTAACTTATTTAAAGTCATGTTGAAAAAAAGATCCAACCCATAAACGCTTAGTAGGTAATGCTAGGCTAGTGTTCAAAAGCACTCTAAAAGACCCTTTGTCCATATTTTGGAAAAGAAAATATTTGCATGTTTAATTCATAATTTAGGCTGCCTTTGAGTATACTGTAAAGTGCTGTGTGATATAATATCAATAAAGTACTTATAAAATGGCACTTTAATGTTTTCTTTTAAAAAATCATAAATAATGCACTGTTTTAAACTTCAGTATTGACTATTGACTGGTGCATAGAATCCAATTCCATAATTAAAAAGTAATCTGTGACTAGAATAGAACTTTTTCCCTGTAATTAGGAGGCAGTTTTGCCATGTCTGGGCTTTTTAAAATATGTGCTTTTGTGTCACTAAATATATCTATAAAGAAAATACAGTTTCTGTTGAGTGGCCTCTGAAATGTGGCTTTCTTATATTTGGTTGGTTTGTGACAATCCCCATGAATGAGTGGAAATATGATTTTTGAATTAAATGACTTTTCCATTTGGTGGTATATTTCTTGAGTTTCTGATGGTTTTGATTCACTACGTATTTTAACATTTCTTCAAATAAAGCACATGGCGAAAGGCCACAAGTCTAGGCTCCTGCAGCTATGGGTGACAATCACGGTGCTGATTTTGGATGAGCTCTGTTTAGGAAGGGGTCAGATGCTAATAAACTTGAGAATGGGCAAAGTGGGAATATTAAATAAATGAGCCCAGAAGAGCATATTCCGCTTAACATTTCTGACTTGGTCTCCTAGAAGGCACATGGTTTTATTCCTAAATTCGATTTCTGGTCAACTGTTTTCTGGAACTTCGTGAACACAGTGTAAAATAAAGAGCCAGGACAAAACCCAGCTGGTTTGCGAATCGGTTGTATAGGACTCGTGACATGTGGTCCCAGGCCAACCCATCGCTGCGTCTTCTCACTCATCATCTGCTCCCCCTTCCACATGCTATCTGGGTTGCAGCCTGGGTCCAGGTTTGCAGGGCGCTCCCCGTTTCTGCCATGAGCACAGAAGGCTCGCAGGTATGCTCAGAAACAGGGAGCCTGGGGAAGCCAGGCTGTGGGTGAGGCTGCTGACCTCAGATGCCTGTCCTGGGGGAAGAGGAAGAGGTAGCTATAAAGCCCGCTTGCTGCCTGGTGCTAAGGGTGGCTATTTAAATGTGCGGGTCACAGGCAAGCTGCCTGCGTTGTCCTCACCTGGCATGGAAGGCACTGGTCTACCCCTGGGAATGGCACAGATTCACAGCACCTGCTGCCCTCGCCAAGTTTACCGCCGCCTCTGGAAAACACTCCCAGCACCCAAAGCTCCCTACTGTGCTTCGGCGAGGCTGAGTGTGGCACACCCGTGCCTCTGGTCCCAGGACAGGGAGAGCGAGGCACTATATGTGCTTCCGTCCTGTTGAGACCCGCAGCCTTTCCAACAGGCACCTCACCTTTTGTGTCTTCCTAACGTCAGAGATTCTCATTTTCGTTTGCTCTTAGCAGCCACGCAGCAGAGCTCAAACTGTCACGTCCTGGGGTCTATTCGATGCTTTTCACTCGTTAGTTCTGACTGCGTGATCACTCTTACGAGCTCCTTGATTAGAAATGGATTTCATTGACACTTCCGATGTCGTCAACGTTGGACCGCGAGTGTGAGGAAAGATTGTTCTCAGCCCCCCAAACATGCTTGCTTACTCTCTTGAGAGTTAAAGCACAGCTCTCATTTCTTCTTTTTTCCATCTTTACCTCAACCTCCACTCAGATACCACACTTGTCTCCTACCCGAGTGTGTCCATGTCATTGGCCTGCCCTGCTTTTAATAGCCCTAAACTAAGCTGCATCTGATTAGTGATGCTGGGTTAGTCAGTGCTGGCTGACTTGGGCCTACATCGCGGCCCAGGGAGGCTGTAACCTACGCAGATCTGCTCAGGGAGACTGTCCACATGGGAGGGTCATGCCCACTCCAGGGGCACGTCCTTCAGAACGCCACCCTGCGGTGCCCAGTATCATCAGACAGCGGGGACCCATGCAGGGAAATTTTAAATTGAAATCATCAGAACTGAGACCCACGAGATCCCATAGTACTTGGTGACTCCTGTCAGAATCTATCAAGTCTCTTCTGTAATTGGCCCCAGGAGGCCTCTGCAGCCTTTATGAGCTGAAACCCAGGTAGCTTCGTATGTCTTCCCAGTGCCAACCAGCACATCAGTGAAGACCTGAGTCCACGGTCCTTTTCTTAGGTGCCAGCTTACAACTTACCATCCAGGGCCTGCCAGAAGTTAACATACTTGTTCTGACACAGGGGCTGGCCGTCCTTCTTGGATTTGGGGAGATAGATTGTTAGATGTTTTAAAATTAACTTTTTCCTGCCTTTTCTGAACCTTTGTCTATGAGAAAGAAACAGGGTAGCTGTGCTTGCCCATCCTGTGCTGCATACGATGAAGGCAGGACAGTAAAGGATGGCCACTGTCTCCCACCTGTTCTCCTGGAACACCAATGTCCTACTTCATAGAGGTTTCTACTGATAATTAGGTCATTATTTGTCATAAAATGTGGGAGGCCTGCCTTCCTCTTAATAAACAGCACGGTCAGGATAAAGACCAGGTCTTGTTCCTCTCCACCTGGCACCCAGCCCAGGGCTGGCACACAGCAGGTGCCTCATAAGCCCTGGCGGGGCTGAGCATGTGGAATAGTGAGAGAAGCACTTCTCCAAGACCCTGTTTGCTCCTTCCTGCTCTACTCTGCAGTATGGTGGAAAGAAAGAAATCGAGTGTCACTAGACTTGACTACTTGAGCACAGGCTAACTCTGTGGCCTTTGGCAAAATACTCCATTTGCTCCTGTACTGAGATTCAGGCTTGTTGGAGGAAGACGTCACACCCTCCACTCAGGCACACACAGGCACATTCTTTCCCAGCTTCCTTGGTTGGCGCTGGGCACAAGACACCATCTGGATAACTGGCTGACCACAAGCCAAAAGCCCCTTCACGGTCATCTAAGCCACTTATGGGTTATTTTATGAACCTTAGCCCAAACTGGGGGCCTGCCTTCAAGAAAAACCACATCAGAATCACCCCCAAACATACCAAGTATCCCTCTTTAAAGACCCTTCGGGGAAATTCCACGCTGTCCCATGGGAACATGGTCTGGTCTCTAACACTCTCACGACGGGAATTCTTGGTGTCTGACTGAAGTTTCCCATGCTGAGGCTCAAGTCCATTTCCGCT